ACTGTTGACTGTTGATGACACTTAACCCTACTTTCTTTTATACTAATGGTAGTAATACACAAAATAATTTTTATTTAAATAAATAATGTACCAAAAACATAGAATAATAACATGCAAAAAACAGACAGTTTCCTCTAACTATCACAATCTTTCTGGCTTTCTGACAAGAGTCGTTATAGATTCATCCAAACTAGTCATTATCTTTCCCATGTACAAAGCTTGTACTAAAAAATTCTCTGTTCAGAACACGGTGTAATATAATATGTCATTTGATAGATGAAAACATTGGCTTTCTATTGGTTATAGATAATATAGAATTAAAATTGAGAGAGAACTATTAACAAATCCCAAAAGAGAGGATGTGACAGGTAGGTGTGGTGAAGAGGTCTGATTTTCTGTTTGATGACTTTGTAACCAAATAATATTGAAAGCTTTAAAAATTGTTTTTTTTAGCAATGACAATTTTATAGTGAGAAATTACGTTGAATTTCGTACTTATTGGAGGGGTGGTGAATAAAATAGAGAAGATGGGGTACTTACAGAAATTTTGTTCCCTTTCTTACTGTAGGGGAAATTTAGGAATTTTTCTAAATATAGCCTTATAAAATTAATAACTTAAGGCTTATATACAATTAAAAATATGGATTATTAGCTGTGATTTTATGCTATAGTAATTGGTATAATATAAACAAAAAGTAATTTAATAAAATTTTGAATGTAAGCCACTAAAACCTCTTGACATGCACAGTAAATGATGCCCGGGCAGATAGGGTTAATAAGATATAACTTAGATAATATAAAAATTTAAATTATAAGCTACATTTTCATACTGAGTTGATTGACATACATACATACATAATAAAGTTGTCTAATTAATTTTTGTATGTAACACTGTAGAAGGTAGTGACATGCACACTTTGACCCACCCAGAGGGAAAGTCATTGCAAAAGAGTTATTCTTTGTTGTTCTGTTGGATTATGAGTATTAAGCTCATTCTGACCTTAACAAAATAAGAGTCATATTGTTTATTTTAGCATGCAATTTCAGTATTATTCTGGGATACCAAGGCCACCCAGTCTAATGTTAGTCAAGTAGGTTGTTTTCAGTTGTCCTTCTTATAATGTTCCTGACTGATTTTAGAACCTCAATAGAAATAAATCAGTTTTTATTAGTAATGGGAATTATTGATTATATTCTTCACAACCATTTTAGAGTGCAAAACAGAAGCAGGAAATAATTTATGTGCAGTTCTGTTGAAGGTTGGTTGGATGTTTTGTCATGTACTTTATATTTTACATGTATTTTTTTTGGTAGGCTACTAATACGGATCAATTGTTAAAGAAGGTTCAAGATGAACATAAAATGTTGAAAGATGAGCTCGTCCAACTTCAGCAAGAAAACAGTAAACTGAAGGTTTGTATTAGAATTGCATATTTTATAGATTAAAAATATCCTGACTACAAACACTGAAGAAAAGTGATTCATAAATACATCAATATTAACAAGCAGCCTCTGACTCAATGGCAGAAAATGTGAATATTTTGGGTAGGTAGTGTGTTATTTCATCAGGTCTGTAAATTCATAAGCCTAATAATGAGGTACATGGCTGTGTAGAGCATGATCCAAGGATCCTTTTGCCACACTGTTTTCTCTGATTAGATTAGTTGTTAAAGCATTTTATCTTACCAAAATGGACTGTCCGCAAGGTATGTTCATGCTATTTCACCATTATTTTAGCACTCTTATCCTTGTAATATTCTTGCATTTCACACAAAAATTTCTTTGTATTCTCCATTCCTTACCTGATCTTGAATCATTCTCCTCCTCCTCCTGCTTTCCTTCCCATTTGAGAGCAAGTCATCAGATACATCTGTAAGTTTACACCTACTGTACTCAGAATTACTTCTCTTTAGATGCATAACAACACCTCTACCAAAATGTCTCTGACTTCTCTTACAGCTAACGTTTTTGAGCAACTTGTGTACCATTGTGATTGCATCCACACCTGTTACCCTTTTAACACTTTGGACAAGAACAAATACTTAAAAATTCTATTTTTTGCCTTGGCAGTTCCTTACAGGTTTTACGAAAATTTTAGGAATGGTGAGTGTTTTATAGATAATGTACCACACTAAGTTATGTAAAATAATGTAAATAAACATTACCCTATGAGTTGTTACATGTAAAATTTATCCATTCTTATTAACCCTTCATGACTGATATTATGTAAGGTCACTTTGAGGACAAAATTGTATATCTATATAACAAATTCAATTAAAAAATGTTTGTTTAGTCTAATTCAATAATTTTGTGCCAGAAAATAATGTATAAATGTTATTAAAATATTTTATAATCGTCATTTAATGAATTTTTTAAAATAAAGATTTATAAAATGTTTATATTTTCAATTTGTAAGCATCTGAAGTGCATGCTATTGATTTATTTTTACTTACGACCACTATGGTTTGTTGTGGTGTCCTACATAAGATCTTGACAAATGAATAAGCATCTCAGCTTTGAAAACAGATAATCCTTCCACCTAAAAACTGTTGTAACAGGAAGGAGTTAAATGCAAAACATTGTAAACAATTTACTTCTTATTCCTAACAGCATTTTTCTCCATTTACAAGTTTTGAAGTAGTGTAGTAATACCACATCTGAACACAGTATTTTTAGAACTAATTCCCAACTTGTAAGGCCTGAAAATTTATTTTAGTTTTTAAGAGACACTTTTTGTTGCTGATACTACATCTGTGCTGTACTGTGTCTATTTGTAAGCTACAGAAATGTGTACTTTTTTGTTTTTTTTACTCATTTCTTTTATAGTAAAAAAATATTCTGACTTGGTGATTGTAAGCAAATTTTGTATGGTATTAGTAGGATAAGAATAGACAGAAAATATGTGGTTTTATTGAAAGAGAAGAATATTTGATATATTTACATAAATTTATGTACATAATAAAAATTGAAAGCCTAAAATGAAATGAAGAATACAACATTATATAACAAATTTCAGAAACTACAAATTCACACAAATACTAAATATAATTATATGATCTTTGTTATTACACAAACTACATATTCTTTAGAAGGTTTGTTAATTTTGTGCAGTTTGTATCACTAGTATGTTTGTGAAACCATAAAAAAAAACAAAGAAATATAGGTCTGTGAATTTGACAGATTTGTCTCAAAGCAAATAAAGAGAATATTATTATTATTTTTTTATTCTGTTCCCACAGTTTCTCTTAAATATTGTGTGAAAAATACGTGGTTAGAGAAATGTTTATTTTCTGAGTAATATTTATTTTACCTGTGATAGCTCATCATATAATAATATTTTGAATGTTTATAGGAAGAAGGACTTAGGCAACGTTTGGCTCATAACACTGTTGGATCTTCACCTGTCCCTCGGAAAGTGGATTTTTACCAAGCTGATAATATAAAGTCTGCAAGCAACATTGTACCCTCCACTGGATCCCTAGAACTCCAACAACAGCCCTCAGTGATGCTTATGGCTCTCATAATTGGTGCTTGTCTTTTGGGCTTCTTTATGGGCAAGTTCATATTATAAAATTGGATCATCAATGGTAACTGGTTGACTGCCCTACTATCATGCAGTTATAAAGGGTTTAATAAGTATTTGGAGCTTACTACCGATGTATGTGTTTTCTCTCCTCCATCTGTTCACTATTAGATGTAATAATGGAGGACAATTATTTCTGATGATAAACAACATTGTTGGGGCTTGGTATGCACATGCAAACTGGGTTGAATATGAATAAAATATAGTAAAGTTTATAATTTATTAAAATTATTCATAATTGTAGTTTAAACAAGCCATAGTGCCCATATATATATTCATTTGGTAACTACTTATTTGGTAACTAGTTGTTATTAATATAAAAATAGATAAAAGCAAACTGCACTTGAAATGAAACTGTAATACAACAACAAAAAATAAGAACATTGATCTTGTAAATTTTTTTAAGTATCTTTGTTAGACATATTATAGACATTAATTGTAACACCTATTGAAGTATCTTTGTTAGACATATTATGTACATTAACCGTGACACTTATTTTTGTTAACTATAAGGATAGTGTAAAACAATAGGATTGTACTAGTTGTTTCTCTACATAAGTTTTATTTTTATGTTTGATGAAAGTAATTGAAAAAAAAAAGCTAAATAAATATTTATAACAATAGTATAGTAATAGATATTTAGCTTCAAAGTATTATCAGATTTGTCAATATTTGGCTCTCTTGAAGTACCAAAATTTGTAGTATACTGCTGTTGAAAAATATTTACAAAATTGAAAGAATGTGTTTGAAATTGTACAATCAGTCAGAGGTTAGCAATTTCTGTGACTTTCCTTATTTTATTTTTATTTTTTACTTAACTTTATTTCAATATGTGTATAGATTTTATTGTAAATTTAGATGAAAGTTAATAGTTATGTTTGGTATAATGTCAAATTAGAAAACAAATAGTTTTTTCTTTGCACGGATTGCATTTTTACTAATTTTAAAACTATTTTTTGAAGGATCATTCATGTGATCTAAACTGATTCAGTTTACAGCTATTAACACTTTCTCCATTCTGTTTTAACAAATCAGGCTATAGAGCCATGTTCAATACTATCTTTGTATGTTTTTAATATTGTACTTGTTAACATTCAAAAATACCTAAAATAAATTAAAACTGAGAAAAATCTATATCATTTTCAGCTTTATTTACTATGGAATTGATAATGAGTGATAGATTTAAAAAAAACATCTAACTCTTCTCTGATCTGAGGGTCCATGGGTGCATTATAAGTGTGATAATCAAATTCCACTATTCAATTAGAGTAGCACAAGAGTTGGTATTGTGGGTGCTGTTGATTAGCTGCCTTCCCTCTAGTCCATCAATTCAAAATAAGGGATAGCTTTTGTAGCTTTACATGAATGTTCGAGCCAAACTAAATTGCTCTGATTACTGTCGTCTGACTTCTTTGATGATGATTTTATCTGTAGTCTGTTCTGGCCTGCTGTACTAATGATTGTTTTTAACTTTTTCTATACTTTTAGAAAATGTATCTTACTGATTGAGAAGGATAAGGGACATATTGATAGCATTTTCATTGTTTTACTCACTGCTAGATATGTAACTATAGTACACAAGTTCCAGATACAGGCAGCAGTACTGTTTCCAGTTATTTCCTCAATATTCTTTATAGATCATTACTCTTTGATAACATTAAAGATGTTTTCTTTACCAGTTGTAATGGCATTTGTTTGTTAATGTTCATTGATTTCAGAGATAGATCTAATCTTTAGGATTTCTGTTCTAAGATAAAATTGGTGAATGTAACAAAAGTTTAGTCATTTTCAGAGTGCTAAAACCTTAAAGATACAATACAGTGCTGTGTGAGTCTGATTTTATTAATGGATGAAATAGGCAGTCTGAACTCATTGTTTTAGTTTCATTACTGATTTTAACACTTCTGTTTAGGAAATCCAATTTTTAAGACTGTACATAACACCATGGTCCAGCATTGTTTATTAGATATTTCTAGACAAGAATAAGTTAACACAATAATTTAGTTAGTGATTTGCAGTTTTTGAGCATACTGTATTAGAAATTGATTCATTATTTCTTCTGAGTTCTTTTTAGACAATAAATGTCTAGCATTGTTACACTGTCATGATAAAAGTAGTAATTTGTTGAAACATTTAACATTAAGCATTTCCAGGCATATTAATATACATACAGAAAACTGTTAATCTGTTTGTACTGCTTATTTATTACCCACACAAATTTTTACTGATGTGTAACAAGTGAAGTTAATCTTTTGAATTTACTCAATTTTGAAATATATTTTCAAAAATAAGATATTTAATTAAGTAATTTTTATTGATCACTAATGTATTTCTCATTTAAATGAAAACTGGCAGACTTTTTTTTTTCTTTTTACCAATTTACTGATTTAATTTATTACTGTTCTATGGTTGTTGTGTTACATTTATATCATCAAGCCAAATATTACACCTGGCAGAAAAAATACATTTGTAAAATGGTTGTTATGCAAATTTAGAAATTTTGAAAGAATTGCTTTGTCAAAAACTGTATTTGATTTTTGTTGACTTTTGTTAATATGGTAGTGATTAGGAGCATGAAAGGACAGTCTGTAGACACTGTTAAAAGCTTTATATAATGGTATTAACCTGTTTATTTTTACTTGGTTTTAAATGTATTTATTTGCTATGTTCAATCTTTTGCCTTTGGGAGTTGAACTTTTTTTTTTATCAGGATATGATAAAGATTTTGATATGAGATTACTTCTGATAGTAAACTTCTTTATATAATTAATACTTGAAACTGTTGGTACTTGGTAAAATTTAGCTTTAATATTTCTTAGAAATTACTGTTATTAAAGTTTCTTCATTTTTATTTAGAGAAAGATGTGAACAAAATGAAAGTTTCTTTTTTTTTCTTGCTTATTATGTCTGCTCCAAGAAGAACTGGTGAAAAATATTAAAAGTTTATAATTTATTGTTTTGGTAACGAAATGCAATAAAAGATATGTAATTGTCAAAGTGTACTTGTAATTCTAAATATACTTTTTTTTTCCGATTAGAAAAAAGGAATTAAGGTAGATGTGTTTGTATGGAATACAAGTTTTGGCTTAGTTATTGATAGAATCATTTTTTTTTTTTGCTAATGGATAATTCAGTTTAACTTGGAAATTCTTTCGATGTAAACATTTTCCATGTCAAATTTAATAGTGAAATCATGATATTTTTATGCACAGCATTTTTAGACTATGTTAGTTAACATGATCTTGGAAGATTTATAAGTAGTAGAGAGTGAAGATTTTGTTTATTATTTTAGTTCTTACCTGTAAAAGAAAATTTTCTAGTCAACTGTGTCAATTATTAATGACCTAAACCTTCAAAAACTCAAACTATATACTTTGTGCAAGTTTACTTTTTTTTTTAAAGCTGAGTCAAGTCAGTTGTAAAGAAATAGTATCTTTGAACAATATCTAAAATGTCATTTTCATTACATTTTTATCTCTTCTCAGTAAGACTTAAGGATGTTTAGCTTATCTTCCTTAGTCCAATTGTACTTAATCATGATGCATATGCTTGACATTATCAATGTTTGGAACATTAAAAATACAAGTTTGTTTAGCTATCAAAGGTTAAGTTTCACTTTCAAAGAATAAAACAGTAATTTGACAAAAAGTAACACATATTAGTTGTCATCACAAAACTTTCAGTGTTATTACTGTAGGGTGTTCTTGCTTCTCATTAATGCATTAATGTTATAAAATTCAAGTATTAGAATCTTATTTTCAAAATCCATACTCTTTATCATACTCAAGAACTAAATAATCCTTGTAGTGACTTAAAATGTTGAAACTGTCTGCAAGAGCAATTCAAGTACATTACACTAAACATCATCTGCTTTTTTTTTGTACTTAAAACTTCATAGTACAGTAAAAAAATATTTTTTACAGTATTTAAAAAACGTGAATGTGAAGCACAGTTTCATACCTTAGTGATTATCTTTGCTTTGAGCACCACTTCTAAACAAGAATTTATAATTGTATACGTTTTGTATGTATAAAATGCATGTTAATATTAGAATTATCAATGAGGTTCATATGCACTCCATCAGTTTTTTAAACACAATTTTAAAATATGAACAAACTTTCATGTGAGTCCATGATATTGTGAATATACAAGTGGTGGAAAATAATAAAATATTGTTAATATTGCAATAACTTCTACTAATTATGCTGGGATTTCCTATGTATTTTTATATAGAAATAGTGATTTTTTTTTTTTACTCATTTTACACTGGGCTTTGAAACAAGCGATGACATAAAATTAGTGAACAGTATATAAGCAATTATATTTGTAATAAGACAGCAGTATTAGGCTTATTGTTTGTTTTAAACACTGTATTATTTATTCAGTTTCTTAGTAAAATTTTTGTCATGTTGATGTTTTGAAATGGAAAAAGAAATTGAGTAGCATTTTATGCACATGTGAGCTAAATGTTCGGGTCAGAACACCATGCAGTTCTGGTGTAGCTATTTCTAATTTGAAACTACTAGTAAGAGAAGAGGCAGCAAGCTAAAAACAACTGCCACCACAAGGGTTTTGTTTGGCTCTTTGAATTCAGTAATGGGATTGACTGTCACTTTTATAATGCACCCACAGCTGAAAGCACAGTGTTTTCAGTGGAATCATATCAAACCTTGGATCTGTAACCCATCATGCTAGCCAGTAAACCATGTCTAGCCCTGGAAACAAAAGATTGAATGAACATTGTTTAAAGTTGATACAGAATGTTAAAAAATAATAATAATATAATGTAAGTAAAAGAGCTGGCCACAACAAACTTGTTTTGAAGGATAATGATTTCTATGGAGAATGTTGATTAAGCAATGAAGTTTAAATATATTTAAGCAGACACTACATATTAATTTAAGTACAGTGAATGAATCACTTGCACGTAGAATATATCTATTTATAACCTAGGAGATACAACTGTTCTCAAATTGGAAGTGAAGTGTTATGGTCCAGCTGAATTAACGTTTTCTAAAAGAGTTACACAAATTACATGGTGGGTTAAGGTATAGCATTTTAGGCCCTGTGGAATTCAGACCTACACTTTCTGCAGGTCAGCATATTACTTACATGGTTTGTTATTTGCCATTCTACTACAATTCTGGTAGTATTGGAATGGGCATTGTCCTGCTTCAGGATGTCTAATATGATTGCACCTGCAAAGAAATCATACATTTGGGTCCAGTAGTATGTATGTGTACTTTTCATTCAGCATTAAATCTGTTATGTCTATTCATAATGATGCCTTCCCACAAAATAACAGTACCTAAATGGCTACATTCACCTCTGGCTCCCCAGAACAAACTCCTCAATTATTGATAGAGAAATTAAACATTAACTTTTTATGAAAAATAAAGGCACCCAGTGTTGATAGTGCCAATTTTAATAATCTTGCCAAAAGTCCAAATGAAGTGTGCAGTCAACTGTGAGGATTGGGTCTTCTCAAGTTACTGTTTGTTACTCATTGTTATTGCTAGTTGCTATCCTATGTAGGGTGGTAAATCCTGATACCACATTTGTACATCTAGTATCCATTATATAGAGATTTTACAGCCTTGTCCAGATTCTATTATGCAGATCATTTGTTTGATAGCTTGGTCATAACATTCACATTATGAACCTAAATACATCAAAATGGAGTGCTTTAACAGTAGAAAACTGCCAGTATTTTACCCTTCCATAAAAAAAGAAGAATGCAACTTTATTCAGATAGAATTTCCCAAAAGTAGAAGCCCTTATCAGATGACTAAACAAATTAAGATGTACTACAGGAGTATTATTTAAGTGTAATAGAGCTATCATAACATATATTTGCAGCTATTAACTTGTCTGTTGCTACATCATTATCTTTTACATGAGTATTGAATCCTATTTAGGCTCACGTTTCCAATCTTGCTGACTAGATTGTCATAAAAGCCATTGATTATGCTTAAATGTTAAGCTTCATCTCTTGTTGTGTGTAATCCTTTCATTCTGTGAAGCAAATGTAAACATATAAAAATAAACTACTTGATAAATCTACATATTTTATGTACACTGTATGTATGAACCACAACTTACTCAGTAGAGCCAATTTCATGGTTACGTGTTAGATATATTATCTGATGAAATTGAGACAGTTGATACAGAAATATAATTCCAGAAATATCGGAAGGTCTTTGTTAACCAGTTTGGGGGTTATTCAACATAATTCTTTATGAGAAGAATATAATGCACTAACAACACACACATCACTGAAACAGATCACTTGGCTTGAAACAATGTCAGTTAGAACAAGTAGCTTTTAACAACGTCTGTTACAATAGTGTATTATATTCTTCCAGTAAGAACTTGGCAGGATATATCTTGTTGGATCTTCCTGTAGAACAATAACGTTTTGTCACATTTCTTATTGATCATTTTATAAGACTCGCAATAACGTAATGTTAGTATAACGTTATTCATTCATGCGTAAGGAATATTGATATTTCATGCGCCACGGGAAATGTGGACCTAAGATAAGTTTTATATCAGAATCATATAAAAGTGGACTAAGAAGATAATTTTTTGTGCGTTTTTTAATAAACGAAATTGTACAAGTCCTAAGCATTTAAGTCAATGGACAATATCAAACTGGCTATGTGCCCAAAACATACAAGTTCATTGTTGTGTTACTATAAGCACAAACCCCAGCGTTTATTACGCTTGGTATCGTCTCCCTTGCTGGAGCCTGGTGATATTTAAGACACTTGGACAGGGAGTAGTTCATACCAGACTTCTGCCAGGTTACGGAGGTAAACTTGAAAGACCAATTAAAAAGAGAATGGATGCGATTGGTCTTTTATAAAACGTAGGTCAGCAGTAGCAAAATAATTAGGTAGAATATGATTTGACAGGTAACACAAAATAACTGATGAATACTTTAGTCTGAGTGGATTCTGTACATCGTAGTTAGTTTGATTACATGTCTTCCAGGATTCCAACTTCTAGAAATATCCATGGAAGTCTTTGTTAACCAGTTTGGAGGTTATTCAACATAATTCTCTCTACAATTCTATGTTTTTAAAATACTATTACAAATAAAGAATTACATTTAGTTCTATCTTCTTTGATTGATGATTTTGTTTGTCTGTATTTTGAATTTAGACATACCAGCTGCCAGGAATTTGTCTTTTTTGTATGGAGTCTTTTAACAGAAATGGCCAGGTGGTAAGGGCGTTCGACTCGTAATCTGTGGATCGCGGGTTCGAATCCCCGCCCGACCAAACATGCTCGTCCTTTCAACCGTGGGGGCGTTATAATGTTACGGTCAATCCCACTATTCATTGGTAAAAGAGTTGGCGGTGGGTGGTGATGACTAGCTGCCTTCCCTCTAGTCTTACACTACTAAGTTAGGGTCGGCTAGCGCAGATAGCCCTCGTGTAGTTTTGCGCGAAATTCAAAACAAACTTTTGACAGAAAAAAAAGACAAATGTTGCCTTCTCAGTTTTAGATGATAAGAAATTGTATATGACGAAAGTGAAAACTAAATATTCTTGAGGTGAAGATACTGTACACGTGAACAGTAGGCGTCAAATCAATGATGTTCGTATCCATTCATAAGTATAGTGTACCAATCTTTAAGACGTATCTTGTAGAGGGGACAAATAAAGGTGAAGACAATCATTACATTTTTTGAAATGACGTTGAAAATACTTGCAAATGGGTACAATCTCATCACGTGATTTTTGGGATATAGAATTTAGGGATGTATTGAATCTTCACGAAGTGGGTGTATAAACCTAGATGACTATATTTCTGCAAAAGGGATATAATCAGCATCCCACAGAGAAATTAACTTTTCAAGGCTTATGATAAAAGTGTGTTTGGTGGTGGAAGAAATAAATGGCTACATAATACAGTGGAAGCTACTGGCCATTGTATTCACCAACCTGGAGCTTCATTTTATAGTGATTATGTGAGAACCGTCAGT